AATTACTAAAATTAGTACTACATACCAATTCAAAAATATCTTAAATAAATAATGATTTCTGGTCCATATCAATATTTGCATGGCCAAGATCATTATTACCTTATCATCCTCGTCATAAGTCAAACTTATTTGAGTATTAGATAACATGTCCTTATTCCTGCGAATATGAAGCGACTTTCTACTGTGACCGTTTTTACCACATACACTACAACTTGGGGGATGTCGAACTGTTTTATATCCCTTATTTTGAGATGACGATGCAGCTACTATACCACACCCTTTGGTCCTAACTCGTTTCAGGTTCTTCAAAGTTCCTTCAACAAAAGGATCAACATCACCTCTACCGACATCTTCCAATGGTTCATTGTGTGTTGACTGCTGACACCAACTCAAATGTCCTACACACATATTCTGGTTGACCACATTCGATGCAGGACATTTCCATTCTCTTACACCGCTCAACAATAACCATATGCTGACTAATTGAGGTTGCATCACGTAAAATATATTGTGTTATCGACACCAATTGTGTCTTTTGCAGTCATTGTCCATCTACTCAAAACAAGACATTTTGGTAACATTACGATGTCTAAGCTGACCAGCACTGCTAACAAGTGCTCACAAGGTATACCCAACGATTCCAACCTCATGCAAGAATACTTGAACTCCAAACTTGATGGCAAGAACGACACCCTCCATTTGACACCTTATATGCGGTATTTACAAACTATATAAATAAAGGAACACACAGTTTTCTTAACATCTATAACCCTGCACTTGTATACTCTTTGAAGTACAACACAAAATATCAAGAAAATTTCACGTGTGTATAAATCAACAACATACTTTTCAATACTTTGAAATTCTGTCAGCAGAATAGGACCACCATACGAGAACTTAAAATCATCTTCAAGTTCCTTGTACCTCATATAATTCAACCAACGAAAAATACTCCAATAATTCTTTAAGTATGCTCTGAATGCTAATATATTTTCCAAATTCATAATGCAACCCCTCACACTGAGATGTGGTACGAAAGATGGCCAAAAAAACTCCCACTTAAGTGTGATGTTGCCCACATCATATGCTTTTCATACATATCTAACACCCACTTGTTCTCTCGCAAACCAAAATCATCGACCATTTTATCCCATTTCCTCTTGAACTCACCAATATCATAATCTCCAAGCATGCATTGTTTGAATGCGGGTAAGAACTTGGGATTTTTTATGTTACTTGTTGCATTACGTAACAAGTTCCGTGCACATAGTCGGTGACGGGTATTTGGAAATACTTTTCTAATGGCATTTTTCATTGCTAAATCACCATCAATAATAATTATAGAGTATTTTAATATTTCTAATTATTTTAGATAATTTAGTTATTAAGACTATTCTATTAGGGTCTATGTGACATTCTTTTTGTGTATAAATAAACTAGTTGTAAATGTCATAAAAACAACAACATTTATTCCTTTTACAGCAGTCAATCTCTTTGTTCACTTAAATATATTCCTTCGTACATCATTAATTCTTGTGCATTAACAAATTGATATCTAGAGTCTCGGTTCTGATCCACAGGGAAACACGAGTGAAACGTGAGGTGTTTGTATGATTGATTTTGGTGATAGATTCGTGTTGAATCTTGAACAGAATCACATTTTCTGATTTTGTGGGGTTAGGAAACACTGCGCTTATGAGATCTGAGTGAGTTGTACAAGATTAAGGATGAATAGAAACGGTAATCTGAGTAACAAACTTCCTGTTTTTGATGGCAAGAACTTGAACAAATGGATGATTCAGATGCGCATGCTATTTGGTGCTCAAGATGCGCTTGGGCTTGTTACCAATTACTGTGTTTTGGTAGCAGCAGATGCGACAGAAGAAGAGAGAAATGAACAGAGAGACAAGAGGAAGAAAGATCAGAAGGCATTTTCTACATCCATCAGTATGTGGATGTGAATGTGTTTGGGAAGATTGTTGATTCGACGATGGCGAAGGAAGCATGAGACACACTGGTCAGATGCTATGGTGGTGACGAATCAGTGAAGAAGGTAAAAATTCAGTCTCTGCAAAAGAAATATGAGAATTTCAACATGAAGAACAATGATAAGCTTTATGAGTACATATCTAGAGTGATTCTGATCACTAATGAGATGAAGGCTTGTGGAGAAACTCTTTCTAAACAAGTAATCATTAAGAAGATATTGAGGTCGCTTATTCCTCAATTTGATTACATTGTTGTAGCAATTGAACATTCTAAAGATATGGAAATCATGAGAATAGAAGAGTTATAAAGTAGTTTAGAGGCGCATGAGTTGTGTCTGACTGAAAGAACTTCTGAGAGGGAAGTTGAGCATGCTCTGAAGGCTTCTTTTGTCAAGAAGGACCGGAAGCATTCTTGGTCAGAAACCAAGAAGAGACGTGGTGATAGATTCCATAAGTCAAAACCCTCTCTTTTTGATGAGAAGAAACATCAGAAGGGAAAGGAGAAGTTTGACAAGAAGAAGGTTCAATGTTACTGTTGTAAGCAGTTAGGCCATTTTTCTAAAGATTGTTGGTCAAACAAGGGAAGAAAGTCAAAAGAAGAAAACATAACCAGAGGAGATTCTGATGATGAACCTGTACTATTGATGAATTTTGAGTCTGATGGAAAGTGTTTGGCAGATTGGTGGTATATGGACACTGGCTGTTCAAATCACTTGATTGGAAACAAATAATGGCTGATAGATTTTGACTCTAGAATGAGGACAAAAATCATATGTGCTGATGATAAATACCTTAATGCAGAAGGTATGAGAAATGTCAAAGTTAAAGTGAAGAATGGAAAAACCGTTCTGATCAAGGATGTTTGGTATGTTCCTTGAATTAAGAGCAATATGATGAGTGTGGGTTAGCTCATTGAGAAAGGTTTCTCAGTTATTATGAAGGACAATCTCTTGAAGTTGTATGATTACAATCAGAAGCTGATTATGCTATCTGAGCAAGAATTCCATTTTTTGTTTGAATCCTACTACTTCCTTGTAGTTCAAGCCTTTCATCCCATTAGTTCAAGCATTTGTTCATTTGAACTTTTAAGTCTAGATGCCTAAATTACATCAAGATAACTCAATCAATTCAATTTATGATATCTCACATATTTAGTGAAAGGAATATTTGTGCCGACAAGATTGCTAGTTTTTGTTCCAAACATAAGGTATTCACTTGATTTAAAGATCTCCATAATCTTATTAGAATAGATTTCTTAAGAAATATGCATGATATTTAGGGGTGGCAAAGTGGGCATCCTGCCCGTTTAAGTCTATACAAAAGCGGAGCGGAGCGGGATGGGTAAACTTAGGCATTCGAGTTCAAAAGTCAAGTTTGTCTCGTTTACTAACGAGTTGGCGGACCGGCCCACCAATTTTTTTAGTTTTTTATTTTACAATTTAATTTATTATATAATTTATAAAAAATTTAATCATTACTTAAGAAGCCGACAAAAGATATTTTTTAACAACGCATAATATAACTTCAATATGTCTTAAGTCAAACACTTAAAAAAATAAAATAGATAAAAACCAATTTCAAGGAAAACATACTGAAATAGACTCTAGCACGATAAAAATATGTATCAAAATAAATAAATAAATAAACAATACATATCATCATAATCTTATTTAAAAATTAATTATTAAAAGAACTCAATTAATAATTTGCACAAGACAAACAATGATAACATTACAGTGCATAAAACATTATACTGCATAAAATAGTAGTGTATAAAATATTAACACCTGACTTTTTCATTGTTTACGTCATATAGACTATTATATAGTCAAATTTTTCATTTTCTTAAAATTAACATTTGTTTCTAAAGAAAACATGTGAATTAATGTATTGACAACTTAATAATTCTTTATGTCATATGATTGTTCTTGTATTTCAAGTTTTTTCAACCAATACATGTATTAGAAAGTTATATAAAGAACCATACAATTATAATTCAATTTATATGTATAATAATTTAGAATGTAATTCAATCATCATAACCTAAATAAAATACAGTTGTTTTTATAGTTAAAATTGTCTTAATTCTAAGTAAAAAATAAAAAACTTAAAGAGAATATTGTTATTTTTATAGTTAAAGTTGTCTTAATTCTAAGTAAAAAATAAAAAATTGTAATAAAATGTCCGCAGATAAAATCCGCTCTGCCCCGCCTAAACCCATTTTCTAAAACGGATTAGACGAGGCGGGCCAACTTAAAATACTGAGTCGAAAACCTCAACTCAACCTACCAAAAATAGTGGATCAAATAGGTTGTCCAGACCCAACCTGTTTTACCACCTCTAATCGCATTATTTGTTGTAGTTATAAGATTTCTTAGAGATTTTGGTTTTAATCCACATGTTTATGATCTTTCTATTTTAATAAAATCTTGCCCTTGATTTTGGCCTTAAAAAAAATCTTAACAAATCGCACGCATTTATTGAGGATCTGCACAGTTTTGGCCAACTCTGCGAACATCCCATATAAGAGATTTTGTATTCAAAAGAAAAATGAAATCCTCAAACCAATGAGACTGTGAATTCAAATAAATTTTTTTAGTTGGCTCGAAGATCTGATTACAGATCTAAATAAAAATCTAAGGTAGTCCATTATAGATCTGATTTGTATTTAATCTCCAGTTAGTTTATGCATGCAGAAACAAAATAGAACAACATAACTAGAAACAATATTTAACTTACTGCATAGGTAGATTACAGCTACAAACATGAACATCAATAAGCATAACAAGTGTCTTCTCCAGGCCAAGCAAGAAAAAAACCAGCTGTGAACCAGGGTAAGAAGAGATTTTACAATAATACACTACAAGTAGTACACTGCAATTGTCAAAAATTCCATTGCAGTAACCACCCATCTAAGAAACTAAAATCTAATTACATCATATACTTTATAGTAATACATAAAGATGAGACTCTTGAATAGAAAATAAAAAAATTAATACAAGAACAATAACATCACAGAGAATCCCAATCAATCTCATAAGAGGGGTATTTGAGAAGATTAAAATTTTCTGAACCACCTTCCCACTGTGGTTCGCCAACATCGCCAAAGGTAAGATCAGAAAGCGGTGAAAAACCTTCAGAGCTTTCACTCTCAGTCATAGCCGGAGAAATCGAAATTTCAACCTTACAAAACCCCTTTGAACCTGGACCCTTCAAATCATCAACAGAGTTTTCAACAGAGTTCTCTATCTCCACCGTGGTCTCCGGTGGAGGTACCACCTTGGATGCAGCCTTGGACCGAGCAGCTGGTGTTTTCTTAGGCTTCTCTGGCTTTCCCTGTTTCTGCATCTCGGCTAAACCTTCACAAATAGCTTGAAGTTTAGCGTCTACAGAAGAAGGAAGAGGCTTATACTCACCAAACTCACCACCAACGCCAATACATGAACCATGGTGTTTGAGATTTGGGAAATTAAGCCTAGCGAAGTCACCACGAAGCTTATAAGCAGCTTTGTCATAAGCCAAAGCAGCTTCTTCTGCTGTATCAAAGGTACCAAGCCAAAGCCTGGTACGGTTCTTAGGGAGTCTAATCTCAGCAACCCATTTTCCCCAGTGTCTTTGCCTCACCCCTCTGTATAGCTTCGTGGGCTTTGAAGAAGTATTACCCACGTGCTTCATAGGGATCGGCTTTGGACTGAGGAAGCTAAGAGTGTTACTGAGACCTTGTTGTTGGTGTTGTTGATGTTGTTGTAAGGTAAAATTTTGAAGTTGGATTTGTGATTGGATCTGGTTGATTTGAGATGGGGTCAAATGGTTAAGACCAAGAATAGAAGAAGAAGTAGAAGATGGTTGTTGAACAAAACCTAAGAAACTCGGGCTATTCGATAACCCGTGGGTCATCCATGTTGAACAACCATCATTGTAGAAAGAAGAAGAAGAAGAAGAAGAAGGTGATGGTGTAGATATTGGGGAAGGACTTTTGATAAAAGGTTCAAGAACTTCCATCAATTCACCTCTGAATAGATCTGAGTATGGATCCAAGTGAAGTTGTGTGTTATTGTATAAATCCATCATAGCTTCCATATTTCCTGCGAAAATCTAGACCTGAATCTTTCTAAAATTGAAGAACAGGTTAATTAAAGAAAAAAATTTCAACAAGGATAAGGAACGGATTTTAAATACACAATCCTTTCAAACCTTGATATAAGAAAAACAAAAGAGCCTTAAAGGGATCAAAAACAACCCTCTTGAGGCTAATTTCAAAGAAAAATTTACAAGTAAAAAAAAAAGCTGGATCTCGATTCTGAAAACACCTGGCTTTCGAAAAATTCTTCTAAGTTTGTTACTTTTTTTATTGATTAAAAGACAAACCCAAAAATCATATATTGAAAGACAGATAATTAACAGAAAGGGATTCAGAGAAGCGGGGAATTACAGAAGGGGAAGAAAAATATAAGATTAGAGAAAAATCAAACACAAAACACAAATCTAAAAGCTCTTGAATAATATGAAAGCAAAAAAAACTTGATTTCTTTTTTGTTTACCTCTCGCCACTCTGATTTTGTCTGTGAGACTCTCGCTCCAATATATAGCAACTTGTCATCACCTTTGTTTCTACTATTATCAATTGGTTGAGGTAACATCCAATTATATAATGACACGTGCCCTTAGAATTGTTTACTCGACACGTGTCCGTTTCAGTACGTACAGGTGTCGGTGTGATTAGCGCGGCTGTTTTCTTTAATTTTGTCGTTAATCATGTTGGACTTATTTGTAACGCGTTAATTCCGATTATTATTTTATTTATTTATTGATAAATTGATGGTGCGCAATGTGCACCTTTCTTTTTCGGCTTTATATATCGCGTCCATTGGACGCATCCATGATTCAAAGTTAATTTGATTTAAGTGGCTTAGAAGTTTCAACTTGTAGATAAATTATTGTAAAATGAAAGTCTACATCGGTTCAACTAACAAGCAACTAATAATTCAAATTAAAAAAAAAAATAGTGAGAATTGAAATTAGAAATCGTGAATGAGAAGATAATGTAAATATATGAAGAGGACGTAAGTGTCCCAAATGAGAAGCGGGCAGCCGTTTTATCTTTTGTTTGTAGCTTTGAGAGTTAGTAACAGGTTTTAATCAAAAAGAAAAATCATATATTTTGACACTCAAATTTAGAATTAAAAATGTGTTTAGATTAATTTTAAATTGTGGTAGTGTATTATTTAAAAAATAAAATTGGTTAATATAGTATAAAAATTGGTTAATATATTTATAATTTAATGTTATAATATAATTAATAATATGTATTTTATTGATTAATAAAGTATTAAAAGTGATTAATAAATTATAAATAAAATAATTAGTTAATAATATATAATTTTATAATTAATTTAATTGTAGAATTGGTTAATGATACAATTTTATAATTAATTTAATTGTAAAATTGGTTAATAATACAATTTTATATTTGTATTATAAAAAAAATTAATTTTTTTAAATAATATTATTTTATTTAAAAACACAGCTCTAGAATGAACACAATACATATGTAAGTATGTGTATGGTGTTGAAAATGAATATCAACATAGTATACCTCTAATTTCAAATAGGTTGGACCGATATAAAAGAATTAATTAAATTAGACTGAGAAAGTTCTCTCTCTCTTAAAAAACTAAAAATTGTTAGGTCATAGGAGTATATCAAAGTGGTTTCTGAGTGATACGCCTTCCCTTTTTTCATAAGTGGTTTTGAAGAAAAAAATTATATTATGATATAATTTTTTACAATACTAAAAAATCATTAATATTATTTTAAATATTTTTTAATTATTTAAATTTATCTTTTTATATAGTTAATGAAGAACAATTTTATTAAAAAAATTATAATTTTTTGGTTATACAACAATGATTATAATTTTTAACAATGATTATAATTTTTAATACATGTAAAAAATTCAAAACAATTTAAATAAAAAATTGAGAGAGTATTCAAGAAGAATAAATTATTAATTTAATTTTAAATTGTCATTATATCTTCAATTTAATTTTATGTCCTTTAATTAATAAATAAATAAATAATTCTTAGTGTATATAGAATTTGTCAATTGACTCTTTAGTATTTCGACAATAAAAAAAATTGAAATATTTTAAATAATTAAAAAATCTAAATTTATATAATTTAAAAATTAAATTAAAATGAATAAAAATTTAACGATAAATTGATAATAATTTATTAAAAATGAACAAAGAATCTCAAGAAAAAATAAATAAATGATTGGCCATGTGGTCCAAGAGAACCAAGAGAACCAGCAAATTATCTTCCAAGCACCACAATACCACGTGATGCTATCGAATATCGACAACGATCATTGGTTAAGCACTTAGAAAAATACTCATGTATTTCAGAATTTGTTTTAGAGTAGTACTAATACATAGGGCGTCAAAGTAGAGAAATTGGTTGATAAGAAAATGAGATTATTGAGAAGGTATGATGTCATGATTACATATAAAAGGAGAAACAGAAATTTTGTTTATCAAATCGGAAGAGATTAAACTGTAACAATCAATCAACTGTCATAAAAAAATAACCGTAACAATCATTTTTGTTATGATAAGTGTTTGTAAAATATAAAATGGGTATTAATTATTTAATGAAATAATGGTAACATAAAGTTCAATTATTAGGCTCTGTTTCATAATAGAGTTTATGGTTTGTACTTTATAATTTATGTTCATATGCAATAAAAAAATATGTTTGATATTTTATAATTTATTTTATAAATTTATAGATTATTTTTTAGATGTTATTTCAAGTAGTATTTTAATTTATAATTTTTTTAAATCTAAAAACATTTACTATTTTTATAACTTATTTTAATTTAAAATAAAATAATAATATATTAAATATCTTTTATGTCATTTTAATTTATTGGCTATTGGAATCACTAATTTTATCAAACATTTCAATTAATTTATCGGCTACAAATTGTTAATCATCAGTCATCTCCTATAAGCTATCAGTTATCAGTCAACAATCATCGATTAGAAACTATAAATTATCAGTTAGTTTATTACTCAACCGTTATTTTTACCAAATAGAACTTTAATATATAGTTAAAATTTAATAACATAAATAGTAGAAGAAATATTTTTTTATCGGGTGATTATACATTTCAACCTAATTAAATAAAATTATTATGTTAGTCATAATTTTATTTTGAATGTATGATGTAACACCACATTTCTATCCAACGAATTATATGAAATCAGAGTTATAAAATTTAGACATATAAATGAGATGCTACACATTAGGCTTATAACAATGACGTTTAATCGCTTTTAAAACAGATACATAACACTTAAAACTCGGATGAACTAACAACAACATAACTTAGTCTTTTAAAACCAACAACTTTCATAACTATGCAGCGGAATCATAATATCCAACTTAAAAGGACATAACATCTTTGTCCAACTGAAACAACTTTAAAACAACAAGTACTTAACAAAAATCAACTTAAAATTCAGCAACAGAAGTAAAATCAGTAATAAAATAATAAGTGTTCATTCCCCCGAGTGTTACGTATCAGAGCGACGACACCGACTCAAACTACTGAAGGTAAATCGCGTTCACTCTGGATTACCCGCATGTTACCAACATCGAGGGTAACATTCAAACAGAAGGGGTAAGATATCAAACAATATAATCGGATGTACGATAAATAGTATATTAGAATTATATCATACGATTCACCACTTCACAGCTTTTTATCAATATTTAACATAATTAATTCATCCACACGACAACTCAAGATGCAACATGAAATGCGACTCATTTTTATGCACATACATGTGGTACCAACAGAGCAAAACTCCCAACTTAATAGACTTGCCAATTAATAGAGGCAGCAACAAGGCATAAGCCTTCAATTTGATATTTGTCAATCCAGGCCAACTTGATATGCTATGTATGCGACAACAGTATGAATGTAATAACAATCAATAACAATTAATTCAACAACGATTCAACACAATTCAACACTGGTCATAAGCCTACAACTCAATAATTGCCAATCAATAGAGGCAACCCAACAAAATTCATGACCTACAACTTCAACAATTAATAACAACAATACAACAACTTACACATGCCAATACTGTTATTAACACGGTCCTACTAAAATACTTCTACTAAGTTATTCTGCTGATAAGCCTTATTAATAGTTTTCTACTACTATATTTTAGTTACTAATGTTTCTGTTATTTACTACTAGCTCTACAACTAAAATCATACCAGTTACTAACTCTGTAACTTAATAATTATCTTTGTTATTGTTTTAACTCTCCCATGATCTAACTCTGCAATTTGTTAAATCTATATACTGACAATTATTCTTCTGTTATAACTATGCTACTCTGTAATTAATGAAATTATACTAACAATTGTTCTCTTCTGATCCTTAAGTCAAAACTATTAAAAAGTCATTACTCAATTTGCACGCAAGAAACAGAGAAAGAAAAAAAGAGAATAAAGGACATCACTTGTGCCCCTCGGCACACCCTTCATCCAAGCCATGGCGCTTGGCATGCCTCCCTGCCGCTCGCCACACACCAATTTGTATCGTTCGACACAGTCACTCTGCCCTTCGGCACAACCTATTTCACGCAGATTTCCAAAACCCCACGCAGACCTTGTTAACTATCTAAATTTTCCAGAGTTCTTTCGAATTTCAGTCTTTACTCGACTATCAATTCCAGACCAACACAATATATAATCACATTAACATAACAACTAATTTCACAACATGGTAATAATCAGATATGAAAGCAACAAGGATTCAGTATATTCAACAACCAAAATTACACGCCGTAGAAATTTATACAAACCCAATCCCTACATAATGTTCATCATAAACCCCATTATAGAGTTAGAACTCCATCCTTACCTTAGATTGAAGATTGCTTTGTAGCTCTACTGTGAACCCTATCCTTTGCCTCTTCTCTGTAACTTCTCCTTCTTCTGTAACTCCTACGATCAACTTCCAATTATTCTAAATTAACCTAATTCCTTATTGTTAT